CTGAGGTCAGGAGTTCGAGACCAGCCTGGCCAACGTGGTGAAACCCTGTCTCTACCGAAAATGCAAAATTAGGCCAGGCGCAGTGGCTCACGCCTGTAATCCCAAAATTTTGGGAGGCCGAGGCAGACAGATCATCTGAGGTTGGGAGTTCAAGACCAGCCTGACCAACATGGAGAAACCCTGTCTCTACTAAAAATACAAAATCAGCTACGCATGGTGGCACATGCATGTAATCCCAGCTACTCTGGAGGCTGAGGCGGGAGAATTACTTGAACCCAGGAGGTGGAGGTAGAAGTGAGCAGAGATCGGGCCATTGCACTCCAGTCTGGGCAAGAAGAGCGAAAATCTGACTCAGAACAAAACAAAACAAACAAATTAGCCGGGTGCAGTGGTGCATGCCTGTAATCCCAGTTACTTGGGAGGCTGAAGCAGGAGAATCGCTTGAACCTGGGAGGCGGAGGTTGCAGTGAGCCGAGATCGCACCATTGCACTCCAGCCTGGGCAACAAGAACGAAATTCTGTCTCAAAAAAAAAAAAAAAAATCAAACAAAAAGATTGCTTAAAAAATGAGTCTCCTACACCCTCTGCACAGCCCCACCCTTCCCCTATCAGTCAGTCCACTGGGATTTCTGTGCATTTGCACACACACAAACGGGTAAGAACTCCTGGGCTCAAGCAATCCTCCTGCCTCAGCCTCCAAAAGCACTGTAATTACAGACATGAGCCACTGTGCCTGGCCTATCCTCTATTTTTATTTACTAAATCTGGCAACCCTATAGGTGGCAGCCAATGACAGGAGGAATGTGAAGGCTTGGCCCCCTTGCCTCAAAGCCTGGAAGCTTCCTTAGTATCATTTATGCTCCAGGACTCCCCATGGGATCCAGCTGAGGCTAGACTCAGCAGAATCTGTTACCAAAACACCAGCAGTTGCGTCTAGGTCCTGCCGCTCACCAAAGAGAAAGCTAATCACTGAAACAATGAATATTGCCAGGGAAGAAGGCTTTCCTTGGGTGCTGCTGCTGTGGACATGGGAGATCAGTCTCAAATCCATCTCCCTGACTGACTAAAATTAGGAGTTTATACAGCGGAAATATAACTACATGCAGGAAAACAGGAATCAGGGAAGGATAAGGAAGGGGAGTTAGTCAACAGAAAGCAGGTCGTGGGAGACAGGCAATCGTGAAGGATGAAGGGTCTGGACTCATCCAAATGCAGTGATCTGGTGAGTTTCAGCTCCTTGATACTATCTGGGATGACTCATGGTTGGTTTACTGAGAAAGGAACTCAGATAAGACAAATGTAACTTTCTCAAATTTTAAGACTGAGAAGGTCAGTTTCACAGAGTGAGACCCTATCTCCAAAAAAAAAGAAAAAAAGACTGAGGCAGCCTTGTGTGTTTTGATCTGGAGCAATTTTAGATATGTTGTCAAGAGGGAAAAGCCTATCATATTTTTCAGGGGACACTTAAGAAACTCATACTAGGCCGGGCGCGGTGACTCAAGCCTGTAATCCCAGCACTTTGGGAGGCCGAGGCGGGCGGATCACGAGGTCAGGAGATCGAGACCATCCTGGCTAACACGGTGAAACCCCGTCTCTACTAAAAATACAAAAAGAAATTAGCCGGGCGTGGTGGCAGGCACCTGTAGTCCCAGCTACTCGGGAGGCTGAGGCAGGAGAATGGCGTGAACCCGGGAGGCGGAGCTTGCAGTGAGCCGAGATGGCGCCACTGCACTCCAGTCTGGGCGACAGAGCGAGACTCCGTCTCAAAAAAAAAAAAAAAAAAAAAGAAACTCATACTAGTGGTTGCTCCTGGAGAGGGGAGAGGCTGACAGGGGAAGAGGTGGAAGTCACTTTTTAATATTTATCCCTTTATGTCATTTGAAATGTATGCTGTAAGCCTACAGTACCTATTCAAAAAATAAAATTTAGTCACGGCGAGGCGGCTCACACCTGTAATCCCAGCATTTTGGGGAGGCCAACACAGAAGGATCGCTTGAGTCTAGGAGATCAAGACCAGCCTGAGGACATGGTGACACCCTGTTTCTATAGAAACATTAAAAATTAGCTGGGCATGGTGGCATGTACTTGTAGTCCCAGTTACTTGGGAGGCTGGGGTGGGAGGATTGGCTGAGCCTGGGAGGTTGAGGCTGCAGTGACCCATTATCACATTATTGTACTACAGTCTGGGTGACAGTGACACACTGTCCAAAAAAATTTTTTTTATATAAAATTTAGTTGAAAAACAAAGGGTTTTTTTGGTTTTGTTTTTTTGTTTTGTTTTGAGACAGAGTCTCACTGTGTCATCTCAGCTGGATTGCAGTGGCATGATCTCAGCTCACTGCAGCCTCTGCCTCCTGGGCTCAAGCAATTCTTCTGCCTCAGCCTCCTGAGTAGGGTGCATACCACCACACCCAGCTAATTTTTGTATTTTTAATAGAGACAGGGTTTCGCCACGTTGGCCAGGCTGGTCTTGAACTCCTGACCTCAGGTGTTCTGCTTGCCTCGGCTTCCTAAAGTGCTGGATTACAGGCCTGAGTCACCACACAAAAAAACAAAAGGTTTTTGTCTTTATCATTCAAAGGTGTCTCTTTTATCCTCCACTCTGAATTAATAAGACAGCATGAGAGAATTCAGGCAACTGGGAAGACACTGCATTTTCAGCATTTGTTGCAGCAGGGTGATAATTACCTATTGTTCCTTGAAGTTCAAAATGCAGGAACTGCTCTGGTTTTCCTGGGCTGCCTGGCAGGATACGTTTGCCAGGCAGCTGGCTTACAGGAACCCTCTCATATTACTGAGGGTTTCCTGGGGTGCCAGACACTTTATACCATCAACTCTTTTTCCCTCAACTCTGTGAGGTAGCTGCTAATAATCTCTCCATGTGACAGATGAGGGAGGTAGGTAAGTGGCAGAGGATGAATTTGAAGCAAGTTCTGGCGGCTTCTGAAATCAAGCTGCTTTGAGAAAGAAAATGCCAGGTTCTGTGGGATCTGTGTTTGCTTTCTCCACCTCTTCCCACATCTGGAACAAGCCCTGTCTCCTCTGAAGGAAGAAGAAAGTAGGAACCACAGAACTGGAGAGCATGGCCAAGGTCAAGGACTGAAGCTGCTGGAAATAACACAGTGGGATTTTGAGAAAAGAACTGAGGAAGGAGATCCCCGCTGACTCAACTGTCCCGTGCAAGGCAACCCTTTGCCCCCCAACCCAAGCAAAACCAGCCTATCCATTTATGAACAAATGCCTTCAGTAAATAGATGTTAGGTCACCATTGGGTACCAGGAACTGGGATGCAGTGGTGAGCAACACAGACAAGGCTCCATCCTTTTGGGGCTTACACTAAAGCTTTCCTTCCCACTGCAGCCCCTCAATTGGTGGTAATACAGTGCAGTGTGTAGAGCACTGGCTAGAATCAGACAGCCCATGCCACTGCTAACTGTGATCTTGAGCAAATAACTTAGCCTCTCTGTGCCTCAGTTTCTTTTTCTGTTGCCAGGCTGGAGTGCAGTGGTGTGATCTCGGCTTACCGCAACCTCTGCCTCCCAGGTTCAAGCCATTTTCCTGCTTCAGCCTTCTGAGTAACTGGGATTACAGGTGTGCACCACCGTGCCCGGCTAATTTTTGTATTTTTTGTAGAGATGGGGGTCTCACCATGTTGGCCAGGCTGGTCTTGAACTCCTGGCCTCAAGTGATCTGCCCACCTCGGCCTCCCAAAGTGCCGGAATTACAGCATGAGCCACTGCCAGGCCTGCGCCTCAGTTTCTACCTCTGAAATGTAATGATCATAGTAATAGCCATCTCAGGATTGTGTGAGGGTTCCATGAGACAACATATGTAAAATATTTTGCATAGTGCCTAGCACAAAGTCTTTACTTTGTGGGTCTTTTCAGGACGGCCTAGGTAGAACACATACCATGTGCTGGGAGTCACAAGGGACACTGAGAGTGGGTACTATCTTTGGGGAGTGCTTGACATAGGAGATATTGAGGAGAGGAGATGCTAGATATAAATTTGTAGGCTGGGCATGGTGGCTCACGTCTGTAATCCCAGCACTTTTGCAAGGCAAGGTGGGTGGATTGCCTGAGGTCAGGAGTTTGAGACCTGCTTGGCCAACATGGCGAAACCCCGTCTCTACTAAAAATACAAAAATTAGGCCAGGCTTGGTGGCTCACGCCTGTAATCCCAACACTTTGGGAGGCCGAGGTGGGCGGATCACGAGGTCCAAGAGATCAAGACCATCCTGGCTAACATGGTGAAACCTCGTCTCTACTAAAAATACAAAAATTAGCTGGGCATGGTGGTGTATGCCTGTAGTCCCAGCTACTTGGGAGGCTGAGGCAGAAGAATCACTTGAAGGGAGGCGGAGGTTGCAGTGAGCCGAGATCGCGCCACTGCACTCCAGCCTGGCGACAGAGCAAGACTCCATCTCAATAAATAAATAAATTATAATATAATAAAAAAAATTCTGTAGAATGACTCGGGCGCAGTTCCTCACGTCTGTAATCCAGCACTTTGGGAGGCCAAAGTGGGCAGATCACTTGAGGCCAGGAGTTTGAGACCAGCCTGGCCAACATGGTGAAACCCCGTCTCTACTAAAAATACAAAAATTAGCCAGGCATGGTGGAGCATACCTGTAGTCCCAGCTACTCAGGAGGCTGAGGTGGAAGAATCGCTTGAGTCCTAGAGGTGGAGGTTGCAGTGAGCCAGATTGCGCCAATGCACTCCAGCCTGGGCGACAGAGTGAAACTGTCTCAAAAAAAAACAAAAAAACAAAAAAAAAAATTGTTGAATGAATGAATGCATTAAGAAATGGATAACTATGAAGCACCGTCCAAGGCGGAATAAATACGCCTTATAAACCGCACCCTTAGCAAACTGCACATACGGCTTTTCCGGAGTGGACACCAGAGGGCGCTGAGCTCGGCCACTCTCAGCTCCGGATCAGGATTCGCGCCTGGGTCCTTAAGAAGACGCTGCGCGGTGACGTCATATCCGCCTGGGCGTCACGCTTCGTGGGGCGGGACGAGGAGAAGCCAAACGTAAAGACACCAGGAGTTTCTCGGCCCCAGGTCTGGCTGCTGCCGGGGAGCTCCAAGCCTTGGCGGGTTCTTGCAGCGAATAGCAGTCTGGGCAGGCGTCAGGCTAGTCCGACGGAGAGTGGGTAGGTGGAAGCTCTCCAAAGAGCGGTGGTGGTTCGGGAGCCGTCTTAGTTGGCCGCGCCCCGGGCGCATGCGCGGGGCGGGCGGCGCGGTTTGGGCCGCTAGTCCGTTCCGGCCCGGGGCGCTGCGTGCCTCCGTACGGCGCCGCGCAGGGTCTCGGCCGCAGAGGCGCAGGCGAGACCTCGGAACCCTGTCCTGAGCGCGCTCCGTGCGCCCGGCGCGAGGTGAGCGCTAAATGGTTGTTGAAAAATACTGAAAGCCACCCAAGTTCTCAACAGTAGGGAAATTGAGCTTTTAAAAGTGATTGATTTAGTCCAAAAACTGGACGTTGCATGTCCACTGAACACGACACAGTGTTTTAGGGCCTTGGGAAACAGCAGTGAACAAGATAGCAAGATTCTTGGAGTGGACTTTCTGTTGGGATGTGGGGCGAGTACAGATAAAGATAAACGAGTTACATAATAGTCATAGAAAAAGGCAAATGCTACGAAAAAGAAAGCAGGGACGGGGCATGGGGGTGGGGTGCGGTGTTAGCCGAGAAGGGCACTGGGCCAAACCGATTGAGATTTGAGTTAAGCCAAGAAGGAGGCAAGGGTGTGAGCCCGGTGGCTGCCTGGAGGAAGAGGTTTCCCAGCATGGGGAAAAGCTAGAGCCGAGGCCCAGGGGTGGGAGCGAGACTGGCGCGTGCGAAAGAACTAGGCTAGGCCTGTATGGTGGCGGGGATTGGGCGGAGGGAGAATGGCAGGACAAGAGGTCAGAGGTGTTGGGGGGGCAGCCCTGCGGAACCTCCAGGCAGAGCCTTGCAGGCTGTTCTAAGGACTTTGGCCTTACTCTGGATAAAACGGGAACCATAGCAAGGTTTTGAGCAGAGGAATGATGTAGTTTGAGTAGATGTTAATGGACTCACGGGCCACCGTAGAGTTGGAGAAGCGGGGGAGTAGGGGGAATCAAAGATTTATTACTAATAGGTCAGATTAGGAGCATCCCTGTGCAGCCACTAAAAAAGGCTGACTTTAGCCCCGGCGCAGTGGCTCATGCCTGTAATCCCAGTACTTTGAGGGGGCCGAGGTCGGCAGATCACTTGACGCCAGGAGTTGGAGACCAGCCTGGGCCAATATGGCAAAACCCCATTTGTACTAAAAATGCAAAAGTTAGCCGGGCGTGATGATGTACGCCTGTAATCCCAGCTACTCGGAAGGCTGAGGCACAAGAATTGCTTCGGCCCGAAGCATTCCAGCCTGGGCGACAGAGTGAGACACTATCTCAAAACAAACAACAAGACTTTAAAGATGATATTGACAGTGACTTCGTGAGCCCACATCTGTGGAGAGCCTGGTGAATATATTTAATACCAGTCTATACAAAATAATTTCCCAGTCATCCTCTCCTTTAATCTCAGAACAGCCTGCAGAGGGCAGTGCTGTCATGTGTAAGTTTTTTTTTTTAATTGCAGAAAATAACGTGACATAAAATTTATCGTAAGTGGCATTGAATACATTCACAACGCTGTGCAGCCGTCACCACTGTCCATCTCGTGGACGTTGTGTAAGTCTTCGTTTTACTGGCATCTAAGCCCTGGGCGTAATTTCACTCCCCTACTTTAGGCAGCCAGCTCCATCAAGGCAGTAACACTAAAAAACATTTATGCGCCAAGCAATGAAAGAAACAGATGAGGTTTCTTGTTTGCCCTGCCCTTGTAGTTAGGGGAGACTCTGGTAACTGGGAAAGAAGCATCAGGTTTGCCGCTGTCCTGAAACCAAGGATTCTTTTGAATATATAGGCTTACCACTATCACTTTTCCCTCATTTGAATACCTACTTTGTGTCATAGTATTACAGTATTTTTTGTTTGTTTTGGAGACAGGGTGATGCTCTGTCACCCAGGCTGGAGTGCAGTGGTACAATCACAGTGCACTGTATCCTTAACCTCCCAAACTCAAACTATCCCCCCACCTCAGCCCCTGGAGTAGCTGGAACTACAGGCACACACTACCATGCCTGGCTAATTTAAATTTTTTTGTTTGTTTGTTTATTTTTAAGAGACAGGGTCTCACTATGTTTCCCAGGCTGGTCTCAAACTCCTGGCCTCCCAAACTGTTGAGATTACAGGCATGAGTACCACGCCAGGTCCCAAAGTATTAATGTTTGTTGAATGGATTGGTAGATGTAGCTCCTTGACCCTGACTTCTTTTCTCCAGAGGTCACCATCTGGGAGTGGTTGAAATTGGGTCTAACTCAGAGTGGTTTTGGAAATGCTGGTCTGTAGCTCTGTGACCTTGGATAAGTCTCTTTCCTTGATTGGGCCTCAGTTTCCTGGTCCCTGCAGTGGGGGATCCATATATTAAACAAATAGACAATGTTAAGAGATTGCATAACTTGGGGACTTAATTTAGAGCAGGGTGTCAGAGAAGACCTCCATGAAGAGGTGACATTTAAACTGAAAGTTGAAGGATGAATAGGACCTGTCCAGGGGAGAGCAAGGTTGGTAGGGAGCCAAGGAAAGGAACTGTCTGCAGAGAGATGAGCATGTTCTACGTTCTTGAAAGTTCAGACCTTTTAGAAGCTGCATCGAGTGCCCATTCCAGGAATCCCTCTTCTCAACCCCTGTGCTGTTTAAGCTCAGTCATTCACAGACAGTCTTGCACAGACCTGGCTTTCAGATTGAGAGCAGGCAGACCCAGGATGGGAGAAGATGGCAGAACGACCACCCCTCATTCTTCTCTTTGTGTTCTGTGTTGACTGAGAGTAAACAAGAGGATCTTCATGTTTACTCTTCAAATCTTAAGATTTTACTCCTTTATGCCTTTTTCTTTGGATAAAGAGGCATCATAACTGGTCTTGAGCGAGCTCGGAGTGGTTGGAATCTCTGGGTACCCTTGGGCAGATGTTACCTACGTATACTAAACCTCTGTGTCATCTTCTCAAAAATGGGAATAATAATATCGCTTACCTCAGGAGCATTTTGAAGACAAGCTAAGGCATGTCAAATGTTTAGCACAGAGCTGGGTGCTCATAAGGAAAATTGTTAGCCAAAATTATGTTATGTTTTAAGTAAGAGTATAGTAATTTGGCATATACAGAATATAGAAACTTCTTTTGTCTTCATATTGGTAACCTTAGTTTGACCAGAATTAGATGAGTTACTGTGCCCAGATGTCTTTTAAAAACCAAACAGGTGGCTGGGCACGGTGGCTCACGCCTGTAATCCCGGCACTTTGGGAGGCCAAGGCGGGTGTATCACAAGGTTAGGAGTTCAAGACCAGCCTGACCAATATGGTGAAACCTCGTCTCTACTAAAAATACAAAAAAGTTAGCCAGGCATGGTGGCACATGCCTGTAATCGCAGCTACTGGGGAGGCTGAGGCAGGAGAATTGCCTGAACCCGGGAGGCAGAGTTTGCAGTGAGCCAAGATTGCACCACTGCACTCCTGCCTGGGTGACCAAGCGAGACTCCTCCAAAACAAAAAACAAAAACAACAGGAAGGCCGGACCTGATGGTCACATTTGTAATGCCAGCACTTTGGGAGGCTGAGGTGGGCAAATTGCTTGAGCCCAGGAGTTTGAAACTAGCCTGGGCAACATGGTGAAACCCTGTCTCTACAAAAATACAAAAATTTGCTGGATGTGGTGGCATGTGCCTAGAGTCCCAGCTACTCAGGAGGCTGAGGCAGGAGGATCACCTGAGCCTAGAGAGCCTGAGGTGGAGGCTACAATGAACTGTGATTGCACCACTGCACTTCAGCCTAGATGACAGGTGAGACCCTGCCTTCAAACAAACAAAAATAACCCAAATAGGCCAAATTCTCATGAAAACTGTGAAAAATAGCATGTGCATTGGTCATTTCTAGCCCTCTTGACTTACTGTAGGTGTGATCAGCACTGGAGAAGATGCCTGCCCCTGCTGCCACATATGAAAGAGTAGTTTACAAAAACCCTTCCGAGTACCACTACATGAAAGTCTGCCTGTAAGTTTAGTTTCCTAAGTTCTATTTTAGATTACTTTTCTAACATCAATCTGAACAGAATGAAATTTAATATGATGTCTTTTTTTTTTCATGTTTTTTTAGAGAATTTCAAGATTGTGGAGTTGGACTGAATGCTGCACAGTTCAAACAGCTGCTTATTTCGGCCGTGAAGGACCTGTTTGGGGAGGTATGGAATCACTTGGTAGATTGAACATTCCAAAGATCTTTGTAAGAAATACAGGAGGAGGCTGGGCGCAGTGGCTCACGCCTGTAATCCCAGCAGTTTGGAGGCCTATAATCCCAGCAGTTTGATCACGAGGTCAAGAGTTCGAGACCATCCTGGCCAACATGGTGAAACCCCATCTCTACTAAAAATACAAAAATAAGCCGGGTGTGGTGGCACATGCCTGTAATCCCAGCTACTTGGGAGGCTGAGTCAGGAGAATCGTTTGAACCTGGGAGGCAGAGGTTGCAGTTAGCTGAGATCGCCCCACTGCACTCCAGCCTGGCGACAGAGCGAGACTCTTTGTCTCAAAAAAAAGAAAGAAATACGGAAAGAATGCTTTTCAAACATTAAAAAAAAATTTTTTTTAATTATACAACTCTGTATTTTTAAATGTTTTATTCATGTATTGTAATAAACACATTTCTATTCCTTTTTTTCCTCTTCATCGTCTCTACCCTGCTACCTTTCCCAGCCTCTGGTAATCACCAATCTACTTTCTATCCTCATGAGATCTACCTTTTTTTTTGTTTTTGTTTTTTTTTTTTTTTTTTTTTTTTGAGATGGAGTCTTGCTCTGTTGCCCAGGCTGGAGTGCAGTGGCACATTCTCGGCTCACTGCAGCCTCTGCCTCCCAGGTTCAAGGGATTTTCCTGCCTTAGCCTCCCTGCAGTAGCTGAGATTACAGGCATACGCTACCATGCCCAGCTAATTTTTATATTTTTTCTAGAGACAGGGTTTCGCCGTGTTGGCCAGGCGGGTCTCGAACTCCTGACCTCAGGTGAACCACCCGCCTCAGGCTCCCAAAGTGCTGGGATTACAGGCGTGAGCCACTGCACCTGGCAAGATCTGCCTTTTTAGCTCTCACGTACGAGTGAGAACATGCAACAGTTGTCTTTCTGTGCCTGGCTTACTTCACTTAACAAAATGGCCTCCAGTTCTATTCATGGTGCTACAAATGACAGAATTTCATTTTTTTTTTTTTATGGCTGAGTAATATTCCATTGTAATACATACCACTTTTTTTTTTATCCATTGATGGACGCTTAAGTTCTATATTTTGGCTATTGGGAATAGTACTGCAATAAATGTGAGAGTGCATGTGTCTTTTTTTTTTTTCTCCCGCCTTGGCCTCCCAAAGTGCTGGGATTACAACATGAGCCACTACACCCAGCTACACCCTGTCTTTTTGAATTGATTTCCTTTCCCTTGGATTGCTGCTTAGTAGTAGACTTGCTGGATTAAATGGTATTCTATTTTTAGAATTCTATTTTGTTTTTTGTTTTTGTTTTTGAGATGAAGTCTTGTTGTGATGCCCAGGGTGGAGTGCAGTGGCATGCTCATGGCTCACTACAGCCTCAACCGCCCAAGCTCAAGTGATTCTCCCACCCTAGAATCCCTAGTAGCTGGAACCACAGGTATATGTACCACCAAGCCAATTTTTTTACTTGTAGAGACAAAGTCTCACTATGTTGCCCAGGCTCCTGGACTCAAGCAGTCCTCTTGCCTTGGCCTCCCAAAGTTCTGGGATTATAAACATGAGCCACTGCACCTGACCTATTTTTAGTTTTTTGGGAAACCTCCATGCTGTTCTCCATAGTGGTTGTACAGTTACATTCCTCCCAGTAGTGTATGAGGGTTCCCCTAGAGATTACTTTATTTATTTATTTTTTTGAGACGGAGTCTTGCTTTGTCGCCCAGGCTGGAGCGCAGTGGCACAACCTCTGCCCGCCCGGATTCAAGCGATTCTCCTGCCTCAACGTCCCGAGTAGCTGGGACTACAGGCGCCTGCCACTATGCCCAGCTAATTTTTGTATTCCCCTAGAGATTATTTTAAAACTGTGTTTGAAATTGCAGAAGTAAACTTTCAGAGGTGATGAATTTTGTTTGGTTTATTCTAATATGCCTTCTGTTTTACAAGGAACACGGTAGACAAATGTTTGTTGTAGTACAGTGCTACTCAAAGTGTGGCCTAGACTGGCAACCTGCAAACTCTTTGCCCATCTTGAAGAGATAAGGAATTTGCAGCAGAACCAGTGCACTACCACTTTTAATGAGAAAGTCTCCTTATGGGCCAGGCTCAGTGGCTCACTCCTGTAATCCCAGCTCTCGGGGAGGCTGAAGCGAGTGGATCACGTAAGGTCAGGAGTTTGAGACTAGCCTGGAAAACATGGTGAAACCCTGTCTTTACTAAAAATGCAAAAATTAGCTGGGCGTGGTGGCACATACCTGTAGTCCTAGCTATTTGGAAGGCTGATGGAGGAGAATTGCTTGAACCTGGGAGGCGGAGGTTGCAGTGAGCCCAGATCACGCCACTGCATTCCAGCCTGGGCAACAGAGCAATACTCTGTCTCAAAAAAAAAAAAAACCTCTTTATGAAAAAAAGATGAACTGAACTAAACACGGTGATTAATGATACTATTGGTTTACATTCTGATTCAACTCCTTATTTTGTCATAGACCAACACTTTAAGCAGATTTGAGAAAAGAAGTAGAGAAGTAGAGTTTTAGAAGTTGAGAAAATGGCCGGTGCAGTGGCTCAAGCCTGTAATCCCAGCACTTTGGGAGACCGAGATGGGCAGATCACGAGGTCAGGAGATCGAGACCATCCTGGCTAACACGGTGAAACCCCGTCTCTACTAAAAAAAATACAAAAAACTAGCCGGGTGTGGTGGCGGGTACCTGTAGTCCCAGCTACTCGGGAGGCTGAGGCGGGAGAATGGCATAAACCCGGGAGGTGGAGCTTGCAGTGAGCTGAGATCCGGCCACTGCACTCCAGCCTGGGCGACAGAGTGAGACTCCGTCTCAACAAAACAAACAAACAAAAAAAAAGGTGAGAGAAGACAGGATGCTCAGGAAATTATTTTCTGATTCATATAGTCTGTCAAATCAAAATATGCTAAGTACCTCATCAAAATGTAAAGCCTCTGCAAAAGACTCTTCAAGAGGATGAAAAGGCCAGGCGCGGTGGCTCACAGCTATAATCCCACCACTTCCAGAGGCCAAGTGGATGGATCAGTTGAGCCCAGGAGCTCGACCAGCCTGGGTATCTGGTGAAACACCGTCTCTACAAAAAAAATTTGAAAATTTGAGCCAGGTGTGGTGGTGTGCACCTATAGTCCCAACTAGTCAAGAGACTAGGGTGGGATGATTGCTTGAGCCCGAGAGCCCAAGGTTGCAGTGAGTGGTGATCACACCACCATGGCTGGGGGTGGGGATGGGAAAGGATGAAAAGATGAATTACATACTAGGGGAAAATATTTGTAAACCACGTATCCAACAAAGGACTATAGTGTTTAGAATATATAAATGACATTTGGCCTGATGCAGTGGCTCATGCCCGTAATCCCAACACTTTGGGAGACCAAGGCAGGAAGATTTCTTGAGGTCAGGAGTTCGAGGCTGTAGTGAACTATGATTGCACCACTGCATGCAGCCTGGGCAACAGAACAAGACCCTGTCTCAATAATAATAACACGCAGGTGTGGTGGCTCACGCCTGTAATCCCAGCACTTTGGGAGGCTGAAGTGGGTTGATTGCCTGAGGTCAGGAGTTGGAGACCATCCTGGCCAACATGGCAAAACCCCGTCTATGCTAAAACTATAAAAACTAGCCAGGTGTGGTGGCACGTGCCTGTAACCCCAGCTACTCGGGAGACTAAGGCAGGAGAATCACTTGAACCTGGGAGGCAGAGGTTGCAGTGAGCCAAGATCACACCACTGCACTCCAGCCAGGGTGACAGAGCGAGATTCTTGTCTCAAGAAAATAATAGTAATAAAGAAGTATCAAAACTCATTTTTGATACTTTAACAAAACAAAACAGTAACAAAAACATTAACAGACATTTTACTAAATTAACAAAAACATTAACAGACATTTTACTAAAGAGAATGTATGGTTGGCAAAGAAGCACATGGAAAGGTGTTTAACATTAGCCATTAGGGAAATGCACATTAATGACACAATGAGATACCACTGTATACCTAGCAGAATGACTGAAATAAAAAATAACAACTTTAAATGCTAGCAAGAATGCAAAGAAACTGGATCACTCATACACTATAGTGAGTATGTAAAATAGTGCAGCCACTCTGGAACATAGTTTGGCAGTGTCTTTTTTTTTTTTGGTAAAATTACATAGAGCCACACACAGGTATAAATATGAGTAGACATACAATTGGTAAAATCTGTGGGATTTTACATAGGGAAAATTACATGGAGCCACACACAGGTATAAATATGAGTAGATATACAGTTGGTAAAATCTGAATAACCTCTGGATTGTACCAATACCACTTTTCTAGTTTTACTACTGTAATGTAGTTATGCAAGACATTGACATTGCAGGAGGCTAGATGAAGAGTGCATGGAACCTCCCTGTACATTTTTTAAAAATTAATTTATTTATTTTTGAGACGAAGCTTTGCTCTTGTTGCCCAGGCTGGAGTGCAATGGCACGATCTTGCCTCACCGCAACCTCCGCCTCCCAGGTTCAAGCAATTCTCCTGCCTCAGCCTCCCAAGTAGCTGGGATTACAGGCATGCGCCACCACACCGGGCTAATTTTGTATTTTTAGTAAAAATGGGGTTTCTCCGTGTTGATCAGGCTGGTGTCAAACTCCCAACCTCAGGTGATCCGCCCCCCCTTGGCCTCCCAAAGTGCTGGGATTATAGGCATGAGCCACTGTGCCTGGCCAATCCCTGTACATTTCTTTGTGATCTCTTGTGAGTCTATAATTTTTCTAAATACAAAATTAAAGAAATATATATATATATGTCTGTGTGTACCTGTGTGTCAGGTAGAAAACCTCATTCCTGGGGTTTATATAGCTGCGAACAAACAGACATGGCCTCTGCCACATGGACTAATGTCTTGGTTCTTGTAGTAGGAAAACATGTTAGACAATTAGTGACAAGAATAAAGGGAATTATAAAAGAGAAGGTGTGGTGTACAAGAAAGAACATAACAAGCTGACTTTGTCTCAACTTAAAGATCAGTCAAGGAACAATTTAAATGAAGACTCAAAGGATGAGGGACATCAGCCATATGCAGAGGTGTAGGCAGAACATGCTAGGCAGAGGGAGCTGTAAGTAAGTAGGCAACTAAAGCGCCAGCACCATTAAATAAAATACTGCTTTTGTGGAGGAGAAAAGCTGAAAACTCAATGGTTGTCAAAAGTTGATAAGCATTCAAGAATAATGGTGAGAATAGCCTGCTAATAGCATTATTCCACATTCAGGTTGATGCTGCCTTACCTTTGGACATCCTAACCTATGAAGAGAAGACCTTGTCGGCCATCTTGAGAATATGTAGCAGGTATGACAGAGAGTGGGACATTTATAGTATAACAGGGCAGAGAGAGACCAATGGAGAAATAGAGCAAAAATGCTGTCCTGAGAATGAGAATTTTTTCGTTGTGAACTCTGAGCAGCTTTTGGGAATTTAAACTGGGATGAATATGAACATTCATCCACCAGAAACTTGTACTCTAGAGAAGGCAAAACTTAGGATTTGGTTACAGCTGTAGTCCCATTGATGGTTACAGTTGCAAAGTCAGAAGTGAATATTTTAGAAACCTTAGTTGAGGTTCATTGTGTTCTCTGTCTATGACACAGTGTGTATTTTCTTGATATTTCTGCAGTGGTCTTGTCAAATTGTGGAGCTCTTTGACCCTGTTAGGATCCTATAAAGGCAAAAAATGTGCTTTCCGGGTGATTCAGGTAAAGACTATTCCTTCACATATTCCAAACAAGATTGAGTGGTGGGTCGACTGCTTCTTTTTTTTTTTTTTTTTTTTTTTGAGACAGAGTCTCGCTCTGTCACCCGAGCTGGAGTACAGTGGCCGGATCTCAGCTCACTGCAAGCTCCGCCTCCCGGGTTTACGCCATTCTCCTGCCTCAGCCTCCCAAGTAGCTGGGACTACAGGCGCCCGCCACCTCGCCCAGCTAGTTTTTTGTATTTTTTAGTAGAGACGGGGTTTCACCGTGTTAGCCAGGATGGTCTCGATCTCCTGACCTCGTGATCCGCCCGTCTCGGCCTCCCAAAGTGCTGGGATTACAGGCTTGAGCCACCGCGCCCGGCCGGTCGACTGCTTCTTAATATACTCAACTCATTTTTGTGCTTGCATAAATGTAATATGATTAAAATGATCTAAGTAGGGGAAAATAAAGGACTTGATTGTTTCCAAAAATGTGAGCCAGAGCACTTAGATTTTAAATTCTGTGGGAGATGTTTTGGGATAAAACTTGCAGTCCTGTGGTTAAGGCTTATTTTTCACTTAACGCTTAATGCCTTGTGTGTTATATATTGGTATGCTCTTTTTGAGCTGTGACTACTTGTCATTGAAGGCTTCCTCTCAGGATGCTCTGTAAAATGCTCCTGCATCAGTTTTGTTAATCCTATAAAACTGGCACATTTCCCCATTGCCCTGTGCTTCAGTGGAGTTTCTCCCGATGCTTTAACCTTTTTCTTTCTCTTGTAGGTTTCTCCATTTCTCCTTGCATTATCTGGTAATAGTAGGGAACTAGTATTGGATTGAATGAATAGTCTTCCATTTCGGAAACATTTCTCCACTCTCATATTTATTTTTTTGGTGCCTGCATGTTTGAAGACTGAAGCAGGCTAAAAGCTCTTGATGAAATTTGTGGGTGCTGAAGATGTTCCCACTAATTTCCAGCCATCGCTTTTGGTGGGGTGGGCTTCGCAGGACAGTCTGCCTGAACCTGCCAGTGCTGACCCTGCAGCACTTTCAGCATATGCACATCAAAGTTGGAGACCGCGCTGAACTTAGGAGGGCCTTCACACAGACAGACGTGGCTACCTTCTCAGAATTAACGGGGGATGTCAATCCTTTGCATTTAAATGAAGACTTTGCAAAACACACCAAGTTTGGAAATACAATTGTACATGGAGTTTTGATCAACGGACTTATCTCAGCTCTCCTGGGAACTAAAATGCCAGGGCCAGGTTGTGTATTTCTTTCCCAGGAAATTAGCTTTCCAGCCCCTTTATATATTGGAGAAGTTGTTTTAGCTTCTGCAGAAGTGAAAAAGCTGAAGCGGTTCATTGCTATTATTGCAGTGTCATGTTCTGTAATAGAAAGTAAAAAGACTGTTATGGAAGGCTGGGTTAAAGTTATGGTTCCAGAAGCTCCCAAATCCTGAAATATGTGTTTAAAGATGTAACCTCAAACACCAATGCTGTAGTTAAAGAGCCTCTGGGGAAATGGATTGCTGCTTTTCACCAAAGAATGGTTGATAGGCCCAGAAGCCCATCTTAGTTAGGGGAAGGGAGCAGGTATAGGGTTGTTCAAATGCCCACTTTCCGGTTTGGCCTTATGCTTCATGCAGACTTGAGTGTATGCAGGATTTTCATTATCTGCCTGGCTTTTTTGTTTTTTGCTTTTTAATTCAAGAAGTGGGCTGGGCCCGGTGGCTCATGCCTATAATCCTGGCACTTTGGGAGGCTGCGGCAGGTGGACCACTTGAGGTCAGGAGTCCAAGACCAGCCTGGCCAACATGGTAAAACCCCATCACTACCAAAAAAAAAAAAATACAACTATCTATGCCTGGTGACTTGGCCCTGTAGACCCAGCTGCTCAAGAGGCTGAGGTGGGAGAATTGCTTGGGCCTGAGAGCTGGAGGTTATGGTGAGACTGAGATCGTACCACTGCACTGTAGTCTGAGTGACAGTGAGACCCTGTCTCAAAAAAGAAAAAAGTATTGGGAAGGTTATTTGAAGACTCTACTTTTAAATCAGGCATGGCGGCTCACGCCTGTAATCCCGGCATTTTGGGAGGTCGAGGCAGGCGAATCACTTGAGGTCATGAGTTCAAGACCAGCCTGGCCAACATGTAAAACCCCATCTGTACTAAAAATACAAAAACAAACTGGGTGTGGTGGCGGGCACCTGTAATCCCAGCTACTTGGGAGGTTGAAGCAGGAGAATCGCTTGAACGGTTGCAGTGAGCCAAAATCATACCATTGTACTCATCCTGGGTGACAGAGCAAAACTCCACCTCAGAAAAAAAAAAAAGATTGTACTTTTAGGAATTCAGACCTAGATAGATTTGCATTTGGATAACAGAACCCTACCTATATCTTTGTAGAAGCAGCTTCTCACTGAATTTTAACTGTAACAATTACTGAAGGTGAAAATAGAAGTTGGGTCATCTTTGAACACCTACCTTTTATCAATGAATATTTTTAGGCCCTGTTCTTAAGTATCTGAGTCACAAGGTGGCATCTTGGGTCTACCTTCAGTGAGACTTGCGTTTCAGGGGAGGGGTGTATGTGCATCCTTGGTCTCAGTTATGTAAACTCTGATCTATAAAATAGTGGTAACACATGCCACATGGGATAGTTGGTGGAGATGATAGATGGAGTTAAGCACAGGGCCCAGCCTCTCAGCAGTAGCTTCTAATTACTGTTGCCCATTTCCCCTGCAACTGAGGTGAGAGGTTTTCCTGAGTTTGAAGCTGACTGGCCCACAGTTAAACATAACAGACCAGTCTTTCAGGGTGTCAACCAACCTCTGTTAGTGTTCTTAAGTACAGATCCTCTTTTAAAAGTTCAGATTATTCCTTGAAAATTTGGATCTACCTCTCATATGAATAATACATGCTTATAGTAAAAAAAAAATTGTAAGAAATAAAAAAATATTAAGAAGACTATGGAGGCCAAATTCTTAAGACTGGGGGCTGGGGGCCAGGGAGGTTATATTGAAGGGAAGATGTACCTAACATGTTAGTACTAAATGGCCATCCCAACACAGCCAACACTTTTGTTTCCATTTTTTAATAACATTGAGATGTAATTCACATACCATAAAATTCACCTTTTTAAAGTGTACATTTCAGTGGTTTTCAGAATATCCACACAGTTGTACAACCATCACCAAATCAATTTTTTTTAAGCAATTTTCATCCCCCAAAAGAAACCCCCATTAGCAGTCAATCCATTTATCTCCTCCAGTCCTAGGGAGTCACCAGTCTACTTTCTGTGTCTATGGATTTCCCTGTTCTGGACATTTCATATAAGTTCATACAATATATGGTCCTTTGGAACTGGCTTCTTTGATATAGCATGTTTTCAGGGTTCATCCATTTTACAGCATGTATCAGTACATTTTATTTTATGGCTGAATAATAATCCATTGTATTTACCCATCCATCAGTTGATATTTGGATTATTTTTGCTTTTTGACTGTTTAATAGGAACATTATAGAAGAGGTTTTTATGTGCACAGGTTTTAAATTCCACGAGTGGAATTGCTGGATCGTGTAACTTTAAAGAATTGTCAAATTGTTCTTCAAATTACTATTGGGCATGAGGTGGTATCTCATTGTAGTTATGATTTCCATGTATCTTATGTCAGCCAATACATTCAAAACAATCTATGACAGAATTTTTAATTTTTACCCAGAGAGCAGCTGAACAGATGACTAGAAATAATTATTCTAGGCCAGATGTGGTGGTTCACGCCTGTAATCTCAGCACTTTGGGAGGCTGAGACGGGCGGATCACGAGGTCAAGGTCAAGCGATTGAGACCATCCTGGCCATCGTGATGAAACCCCATCTCTACTAAGAATACAGAAAAATTATCTGGGCGTGGTGGTGCATGCCTGTAATCCCAGCTACTCGGAGGCTGAGGCAGGAGAATCACTTGAACTGGGAGGCGGAGGTTGCACTGATCCTAGATCGTGACACTGCTCTTTATCCTGGGTGATGGAGTGAGACTTAGTCTCAAAAAAAAAAAAAAGAAAGAAAAAAAAATGGATTATTCTAGTCACTAGAGGGCAGTGCTGTGTATAAAGTTAGTACTTTAAAACTTTAATATTGTATTATACCATAACTCTCGTTTTCAAAGGTGGAAGACAAGACCAAAATCAATGTGAGGAGCAAGGATACTGTTCTCGTGAGTTTCAGAATGCGCAGTATATGCAGGCTGAGGTACACCTAAAGAAGACGTTTATAGGTGAATCACTAGACGTGCTGAAAATGTGTTCAAATGGCAAAACACAATGGGAAACATGAGGCAAAAATATATGGACTTGAGGCCAAAACCACTTGCTCCTGCAGAACTCATTCCCTGGGATTTAGCAGCAGTCTTAAAGTTATGTCCATAACTGGAACGGGATGTGATCATTGATACTGATAGCCACCATTTTTTCAGGGCCTGATGAGTTGATTTTCTACATTAATGCTAATCCTTGAAACAACTTTGTGAAGTTAACGTTATCCTCTTTTTAAGTAGGATAACTGTGACTTGCCCAAGGTTGTTCAGTGAATAAGCAGTACAGCTGGGATTCAAACTTGGACCTGCCTGGCTCCAAAGCCTTTCCTTTTTCCATCACTCTGTGGGTCTTAGGTTCCTGTAGGGGCCAAAGGGAAACTTCCCCTTTGCCCTCTGAAGGTTCACTCTGAAAAATCAACTGAGAAAAGGCAGATTAATTGGAGAAAAGGCATACCAATATATTAGCTTGCATGAAGGGGAGAGCCACAGAGTGATTATGGCTCAAACCCCTACACAATAGGGTTTAGAAGCTTAAATACCACCTTAAGGTTACAGAAAGAGTGGGCTCGGATCAGTGGCATAACAGTTTCCGGGAGCAGGAGAAGAGGAAGCCTGGCTAGCAAAGGTGGTCTTGTTACGTAAATGAAGCTCCACAGGTGGCAACCCTCAAAAGAATAGATGATGAATGTTTTAGACCTTTTTTGTTGTTTGAGATGGAGTCTTGCTCTTATTGCCCAGGCAGGATTGCAATGGCACGATCTTGGCTCACTGCAGCCTCCGCCTCCCAGGTTCAAGCGATTCTCTTGCCTCAGCCTCCCCAGTTGCTGGGATTACAGGCGCACGCCACCATGCCAAGCTAATTTTGCGTTTTTAGTAGAGACGGAGTTTCACCATGTTGGCCAGGCTGGCCTCAAACTTCTGACCTCAGGTGATCTGGCCTCCCAAAGTGCTGGTATTACAAGTGTGAGCCACCATGTCCCAGCATGTTTCAGACCTTTAAAGTGTCAGACTGAGTTAATCTTCCCAAGATCCAGACAAGGGAAAGCCAGGCTGCATCAAGCAGATTCTCTGCAAATACAAGTTTCCCCCACAAAAGACAACTTTGCAAGGCTACTTCTGTTGGCTCTCTGAACAGCCATCTGAAAATATGACAAATATATTTTGGGGTGAAATATTTTTATTTCCTTCATTGGCATTGCTGGAACTGGAGCACTGTCAGTTTCTGTAATAGCATCTTACATGGCATTAAAATAATGGGAATCATTCTATAGCAATCTTTTTGCTTTCGGAATGTTCTAGATCTTATTCCCTGCTAGAGTTGTAGCATTTTCCTAATACTATTAGTTGAAAGTCTTCCACCCATGCATATCACCTACCCTTTTTTTAAGCCAACATTCAGTGATTATTTGTCTTCACCGAAGAATTGCTTAAAGGGTTAAAGATGAAAAATATAGGGAAAGGAAGGGATGTCAGATCTGAATGATAGTTGATTTATACTGTGTAAGTTTCAAAAGTAGCCCCAGGGCGCAGTGGCTCAACGCTGAGGAGAGAGAGAGACCCTCTCATATTGTTTTATATTGTTTTATACTCAGTACCTGTTTTAAGAAAAAAACAAGCAGTAAAACCAAAGACAGGCAGCCCAGTGCCAGGCCCACAACCAGGCTTGGGCCTGCCTGGCCTAAACCCAGTAGTTAAAAATCAACTCATAACTTAGAAACCGATATTATTCATAGATTCCAGGCATTGTATAAAAGAACATAGTGAAACTCCCGGTCCTGCTTTCTCTCTGACAACCAGTGCATGCAAACCCTGTCACGTACCCCTTGCTTGCTCAAATCAATCATGGCCCTTTCATGTGAAATCTTTAGTGTTGGCCGGGCGCGGTGGCTCAAGCCTGTAATCCCAGCACTTGGGGAGACCGAGACGGGCGGATCACTAGGTCAGGAGATCGAGACCATCCTGGCTAACACGGTGAAACCCTGTCTCTACTAAAAAACACAAAAAACTAGCGGGGCGAGGTGGTGGGTGCCTGTAGTCCCAGCTACTTGGGAGGCTGAGGCAGGAGAATGGCATAAACCTGGGAGGCGGAGCTTGCAGTGAGCTGAGATCCAGCCTGGGTGACAGAGCCAGACTCCGTCTCAAAAAAAAAAAAAAAAAAAAAGAAATCATTAGTGTTGTGAGCCCTTAAAAGGGACAGAAATTGTACACTCGGAGCTCGGATTTTAAGGCAGTAGCTTGCTGATGCTCCCAGCTGAATAAAGCCTTTTCCTTCTACAACTTGGTGTCTGAGAGGTTTTGTCTGCAGCTGGTCCCGCTACAGTTCTTGGTTCCCTGACCGGGAAGCGAGATAACTGATGGACGGCTGAGGCAGCCTGTTAGGCGGCTTAGGCCTGCCCTGTGGAGCATCCCTGCGGGGGACTCTGACCAGCCTGAGTGACGCGAGCCAAAGAGTGCTCCCAGGTAGGCAGTCTTCCTGGTAGAACGCCTCATCAGAGCAGTGCGTAGCAGGCCCCCACAGAGGATTAACACAGTGGCTG